AAAACCCCAAAAGTTTCAGCCTCGCCAAAAAAAAAAAAAAAAAAAAAGCCAAAAAATTGTTCGAAAAAGACCAAAAGGAAAACACCAAAAATAACCAAAAATTGTTCGAAAAAGACCAAAAAAAAATTAAAAAAAAAAAAAGGACCAAAGAAAAAAAAAGAAAATATAAATTCATTTCCACGACCTCAAAAACACTGAAAATATTGGGGGAAAACATATTGGGAGGGAGAGGGGGGGAAAAAACCCAATAAAAATATCAAAAAAAGGGATGGGAGGGAGGGAGGGAAGGGGGGAAGCTCCTCCACAGGGACCCCTCACCCCACAACCCCTCCCCAAATTTTTGGGGGACCCCCAATTTCCCTCCCCCCATTTTCTCTCTGTACACGCGGGGGCCCCTCCGGTCAGGACTATTTACAACCCCCCCCTCACTCCTTGCGCTCGGGGCCCTCGGAGGAGGACGAGGACGACGACAGGCGGGATTTTTGGGGGCCCCCGGCCCTGCCCGGCTCGTCGTCGCTCGCCGTCACCTCGTAACAACCTTTGCTCTTGGAGCCGATGCCCCCGAAGGTCCCGAATTTCACCTTGGGCGCCCTGGGCTCTCCCGCCGGGCCCCGCGAGGCCGAGGCGTCGTCGCTGAAGGACGACGAGCGCGGCCGCTGCTTCTTGGGGCGGAACAGGGAGAATTTCCCCTTGGCCGACGGCGCCTCGGCCTCGGCGTCGCCCTCGGCCGAGCCCAGGCTGGCCTTGGAGCTCTTCAGGTCCCCCCGGGAGCCCGAGACGGACCCCGAGGCCTCGGGGGAGCCGGGGGCGCCTCCGCCCGCCCGCCCTTTCTGCTTGGAGAAGTTGAACTTGGGCATCTTGAGTTTGGGTTTCTTGAGCCGCCCGTCAGCCTCGTCCGGCTCCGGCTCGGCCGCCACGTCGGCCGCGGGGAACTCGACGTCCACTCCCACCTCCCGGCCCTTGGCCTCGGCGTCGGAGAAGACGAACTTGGGCATCCGCAGCTTGGGGAAGGACACCCTGACCTGGCCGCCCTCGGGCCCCGCCGCGCCCGCCCTGGGGCCGCAGAGCTGAAAGGTCCCGGCCTCGCCCCCGACCTTCACCTTCGGCCCTTTGGCGTTGACGTTCAAACCCGAGCCCGAAACCTCCAGCTCGGCACGAGGGGACTCCAGGCCGACCTTCGGGGCTTTGATGTCACCGGACACGTCCACGCTCGGTCCCTTCAGCCTCAGGTCGATGTCGGGTCCTTCCAGCCCCACAGTGGAGCCCTTCAGCACCCCCTTGGCCTGGGGGCCTTCCAGAGCCACGGCCACGTCCCCTCCCTCCATACCAGGGCCAGAGACGCTGAACTGGGGGAGTTTCAGGGACGGGAGTTTGATGGTGCCCCCGAGGATCTCGAAGTCGGCGTCGCCCGCCGACGTCTCGGGGGATTTGGCGCCCAAATCTCCTTTCAGCTTTGGTCCTTTCAGGTTGACGTCCAGATCCGGGGCGGAGAGGGCGAGGTCAGCCCCAAGGGATGGGGAGCCCACCTCCACTTTTGGGACGGAGCAGGAAACGCCCCCCTGGGCGCTCAGATCGGGCGACTTCACCTTCGGCAGCTTCATCTTCCCCCCCAAACCTCCCAGGTCAACGCTGGGCCCTTCCACGGAGCCCGAGACATCCAACTCTCCCTTCAACTTTGGTCCTTTCAGGTTCCCCTCGAGCTCCGGGCCGGAGATTTGGGGCCCTCTGAGCTTCACGTCAGTCCCCGGCACATCCAAGCTCACCCCCGGCATTTCCAGCCCCGCTCCCCCTTTCCCCCCTTTGGGCCACCCCACTTTTCCCTCGGGGCCTTCCAGTTCTGCTCCAGAAACGCCCATTTCCCCTTTCACTTTTGGTCCTCTCAGGCTGAACTCCGGCGCCTCGACCCCCTTCAGGTCCCCCCCGACCTTCCCGTCCCCCACACCCACCTGGCCCCCGGGGAGTTGGAGCTTCGGGGCCTTCAGGTTCACGTCGGGGGCTTCCACGTCCACGCCAGGCACGGAGACCTCCAGGCCCGGCGCTCGGAGCTCCCCTTCCACTTTGGGGGCCCCCCCGGACGCCTCCCCTCGGAACCGGTGCGACTTGAGGTCGAACTCGACGTCTGGGAAGGAGATCTTGCCAAACATGGGCTTCTTCCCCTTGGGGGACTTGACGGCGGCGTCGGGGCCGGCCACGCCGAGCTCCCCGTCCAGCTCGGCCCCGGCCGCCGTCACGTCGAACGCCCCCTTCTTGCCCTTCACTTTGGGGCCGCTCATGTGGATTTTGGGCATCTTGAACTTGCTCTTCTTGCCCTTGGCGGACAGGTGGGCGTCGGGGGGCTCCAGGCTCAGCTCCCCCTCGGGGAGATCCACGTCGGCCTTCGGGCTCTTCATCCCGAACCCGAACTTGGACTTCTTGAACTTGGGGAGTTTGACGTTGGCCTCGGGGCCCTCCACGCTCAGGTCGGGACATTCCACCTCCACCTCGGGGCCTTTGACCCCCAATTCCGGCCCTTTCAGGTCGACCTCGGGCCCTTTCAGGTGACCTTCCAGCTTGGGGGTGGAAAGCTCAAAGCCACCCTTGGTTTTGTGGCCTTTCAGGTTCAAGTCTATCTCGGGCATGGAGATTTTGGGGACGTTCACGTGCATTTCGGGCATTTTCAGCTTGGGGCCCTTCACTTTGCCCTCGGGGCCCTCCAGGCTCACCTCGGGGACGCCGAGGTCCACCCTGGGGCCCGAGAGCTCGACCTCGGCCTTGGGCAAGTCCACGTCCACCTCGGGGCCTTCCCCTTGAAGCCAAATTTGGGTATTTTCATTTTGGGCAGCTTCACTTTCCCTTCCAGCCCATCGACGTCGACCGCCGGGCCCTCGATGTCGACCTTGGGAGCCTTGATGTCAACTTTGGGAGCCTTGATGTCGACCTCGGGACCCTTCAGGCCCCCCTCGAGCTTCGGGCCGTGGAATTCGGCGTCGCCTTTGCCCTTCAAGCCCTTCAGGTTCAAGTCAATGTCGGGCATGGAGATCTGGGGGGTCTTGAGGTGCATTTCGGGCATCTTGATCTTGGGCCCTTCCACGGTCACTTCAGGGGCTCCAATGTCCAGTTTGGGGCCCTTGAGGTCGAGGTCCGGGCCCTGCAGGTTCCCCTCCACGCCCAGGTCGCTCTTGACCTTGGGGCCCTTCAGGTTGAAGTCGACGTCGGGCACGGAGATTTTGGGGGCCTTGATGTTCATCTCGGGCATCTTGAACTTGGGGCCCTTGAGTTTCCCCTCAGGCCCTTCCAGGGTCACGTCGGGAGCCTCGAGGTCGATTTTGGGGCCTTTGAGGTCGACCTGGGGGGCTTGGAGGTCCCCCCCCAGCCCGGGGGCCGACAGATCGACGTCCCCTTTCAGGTGGGGGCCTTTGATGTTGAAGTCGACGTCAGGCATGGAGATTTTGGGGGCTTTGATGTTCACCTCGGGCAGGGAGAATTTGGGGCCTTTGACCTTCCCATCCACACTCAGATCAGGAGCCTCCACGTCCACCTCGAGGTCGCCCTTGGGGAGGGTCACGTCCACCTCCGGCCCCTCCCCTTTGAACCCGGGCATGGAAAATTTGGGCATCTTGAATTTGGGGAGTTTGAATTTGCCCTCCGGGCTGTCCACGTGGACCTCGGGGGCGGCGACGCCGACCTGGGGACCCTTCAGTTCTCCCTCGACCCCCGGCAGGGCCACGTCCACCTCCCCCTTGACTTTGGGGCCCTTCAGGTTCAGATCCAGGTCTGGCATCGAGATTTTGGGGGCCTTGATGTGCATCTCAGGCATCTTGAACTTGGGGCCCTTCAGTTTTCCTTCGGGACCTTCAATGTCCACCTCTGGACCTTCGATGTCCACCTTGGGACCGGACACATCCAGGTTTCCTGTCGGCAGCGTCACGTCCACCTCGGGCCCCTCTGCTTTGACCCCGGGCAGCCCAAATTTGGGCATCTTGAACTTGGGGAACTTGATTTTGCCTTCTGGGCCGTGAATGTCGACGTCAGGGGCCTCGATGTCCACCTTGGGGCCCTTGATGTCCAGTTCAGGGCCCTTCAGGTCACCCTCCAGCTTAGGGACAGAAACATCGATGTCCCCTTTGACTTTGGGGCCCTTCAGGTTGAAGTCGACGTCGGGCATGGAGATCTTGGGGGCCTTGATGTGCATCTCGGGCATCTTGAACTTGGGGCCTTTGATCTTCCCCTCAGGCCCTTCCAGCTCAACGTTGGGAAGATCAACATCGACTTTGGGGCCTTTGATGTCAATGTCTGGGGCTTTCAAATCTCCTTCCATCTTGGGCAGAGACACATCCACATCTCCCTTCACTTTGGGGCCCTTCAAGTTCAAATCGATGTCGGGCATGGAGATTTTGGGGGTCTTAAAGTGCATCTCGGGCATCTTGAACTTGGGGCCCTTCACCTTCCCCTCGGGCAGCTCAACATCCACCTCTGGACCTTCGATGTCCACCTTGGGACCGGACACATCCAGGTTTCCTGTCGGCAGCGTCACGTCCACCTCGGGTCCTTCGGCCTTGACCCCAGGCATCCCAAACTTGGGCATCTTGAACTTGGGCATCTTGAACTTCCCCTCCGGACCATGAATGTCGACGTCAGGGGCCTCAACGTTGACTTTGGGGCCTTTGATGTCCAGGTCAGGGCCCTTCAGGTCACCCTCCAGCTTTGGGAGTGACACATCCACGTCTCCCTTCACTTTGGGGCCCTTCAGGTTGAAATCAAAGTCTGGCATGGAGATTTTGGGGGCCTTGATGTGCATCTCGGGCATCTTGAACTTGGGGCCCTTCAGTTTTCCTTCAGGACCTTCCAGTTCAACATCAGGAAGGTCAACATCAACCTTGGGGCCTTTGATGTCTATTTCAGGACCTTTCAAGTCACCCTCCACCTTGGGAAGGGACACATCCACATCTCCCTTGATCTTGGGGCCCTTCAGGTTCAGGTCGATGTCGGGCATGGAGATTTTGGGGGCCTTGATGTTCATCTCGGGCATCTTGAACTTGGGGCCCTTGATCTTCCCCTCAGGCCCTTCCAGCTCAACATCAGGAAGATCAACTGTCGACTTTGGGGCCTTTGATGTCAATGTCTGGGCCCTTCAGGTCACCTTCCAGTTTGGGAACAGACACATCGACGTCCCCTTTAACTTTGGGGCCCTTCAGGTTCAGATCAAAGTCTGGCATGGAGATTTTGGGGGCCTTGATGTTCATCTCGGGCATTTTGAACTTGGGGCCCTTGATCTTCCCCTCTGGGCCCTCAATCTGAACATCTGGGGCAGAAACATCCAACTCAGGGCCTTTCAGGTCACCTTCGAGCTTGGGCAGGGACCCATCGACGTCCCCCTTCACTTTGGGGCCCTTCAGGTTCAAATCAAAGTCTGGCATCGAGATTTTGGGGGCCTTGAAGTGCATCTCGGGCATCTTGAACTTGGGGCCCTTGATCTTCCCCTCAGGCCCTTCCAGCTCAACATCAGGAAGGTCAATGTCGACTTTGGGGCCCTTGATGTCCAGGTCAGGGCCCTTCAGGTCACCCTCCAGCTTTGGCACTGACACATCCACATCTCCCTTCACTTTGGGGCCCTTCAGGTTCAGGTCAAAGTCCGGCATCGAGATTTTGGGAGCCTTAAAGTGCATCTCGGGCATCTTGAACTTGGGGCCTTTCAGTTTTCCTTCAGGCCCTTCCAGCTCAACATCAGGAAGGTCAACATCAACTTTGGGGCCCTTGATGTCAATGTCTGGGCCCTTCAGGTCACCTTCCAGTTTGGGAACAGACACATCCACATCTCCCTTCAATTTGGGACCCTTCAAGTTCAAATCAATGTCGGGCATCGAGATTTTGGGGGTCTTGATGTGCATCTCAGGCATCTTGAACTTGGGGCCCTTCACCTTCCCCTCGGGCAGCTCAACATCCACCTCTGGACCTTCGATGTCCACCTTGGGACCGGACACATCCAGGTTTCCTGTCGGCAGCGTCACGTCCACCTCGGGCCCTTCGGCCTTGACCCCAGGCATCCCAAACTTGGGCATCTTGAACTTGGGGAATTTGATTTTGCCTTCTGGGCCGTGGATGTCGACATCGGGGGCCTCGATGTCCACCTTGGGGCCCTTGATGTCCAGGTCAGGGCCCTTCAGGTCACCCTCCAGCTTTGGGAGTGACACATCCACATCTCCCTTCACTTTGGGGCCCTTGAGGTTGAAGTCGACGTCGGGCATGGAGATTTTGGGGGCCTTGATGTGCATCTCGGGCATCTTGAACTTAGGGCCCTTCACCTTCCCCTCAGGCCCATCAATGTCCAGCTCTGGACCCTCAATGTCCACTTTGGGGCCCTTGATGTCGACGTCCGGCAGGTTCACGTCCCCCTCGAGTTTTGGCGCCGACAGATCCACATCCACCCCCCCTTTGAATTTGGGACCCTTCAGGTTCAAGTCCAGGTCTGGCATGGACAGGTTGGGGGCTTTGATGTTCATCTCAGGCATCTTGAACTTGGGGCCTTTGATTTTTCCTTTGGGACCTTCCACGTCGAGGTCGGGACCTTCCACGTCCACTTTGGGGCCCTTCAGGTTCAGGTCAATGTCGGGCATGGAGATTTTGGGGGCCTTGATGTTCATCTCGGGCATCTTGAACTTGGGGCCCTTGATCTTCCCCTCTGGGCCTTCAAGCTCCACCTCAGGGCCTTCTATGTCCACCTTGGGGCCCTTGATGTCCAGCTCGGGCCCCTTCAGCTCCCCTTCCAGTTTGGGGCCAGACAGGTCCAGCTCCCCTTTCATTTTGTGCCCTTTCAGGTTCAGTTCCACGTCCGGCATCGACACTTTGGGGGAGGAAATGTTCAGGAAAGGCATCTTGAACTTGGAGCCTTTGGATTTGGCCTGGACATCGAGATCCGGAGCCTGGACCTCGACCTTGGGGCCCGACACTTCCACCTCGGGTTTCTTCAGCTTCACATCCACCTCAGGGCTCTGCACTTTGGGGCCAGAAAAGCCAAATTTGGGGAGTTTGAACCGGGGTTTTTTAACTTTTCCTTCCAGGTCGACCTTTGGCCCCTCGACCTCGAGCTCCGGTCCTTTGATGTCCAACTTGGGGCCTTTCAGCTCCCCCTCCACTTTGGGGCCCTTCAGGTTGAGGTCGATGTCAGGCATGGAGATTTTGGGGACGTTGAACTGCAGCTCGGGCTTCTTGAACTTGGGGCCCTTCAGTTTTCCTTCGGGCCCTTCCATCTCCAGGTCAGGAAGGGAAACGTCGACCTTCGGACCCGAAACAGAGACATCGGCATCAGGCAGGGTCAGGTCCACCTCGGGGCCTTCAACTTTGGGGCCAGAAAAGCCAAACTTGGGCATCTTGAACTTGGGCATCTTGATTTTGCCTTCTGGGCCGTGGATGTCGACGTCAGGGGCCTCGATGTCCACCTTGGGGCCCTTGATGTCCAATTCAGGGCCCTTCAGGTCACCCTCCAGCTTTGGGAGTGACACATCCACGTCTCCCTTCACTTTGGGGCCCTTCAGGTTGAAGTCAACGTCAGGCAGGGAGATCTTGGGGGCCTTGATGTGCATCTCGGGCATCTTGAACTTGGGGCCCTTCAGTTTTCCTTCAGGCCCTTCCAAATCGACATCAGGAAGGTCAACATCGACCTTGGGGCCCTTGATGTCCAGGTCAGGGCCCTTCAGGTCACCCTCCAGTTTGGGAACAGACACATCCACATCTCCCTTCACTTTGGGGCCCTTCAGGCTGAAGTCGACGTCGGGCATGGAGAACTTGGGGGCCTTGATGTGCATCTCGGGCATCTTGAACTTGGGGCCCTTCACCTTCCCCTCGGGCCCTTCCAGCTCAACGTCAGGAAGATCAACGTCGACTTTGGGGCCTTTGATGTCAATGTCTGGGCCCTTTAAATCTCCTTCCATCTTGGGCAGAGACACATCCACGTCACCCTTGACCTTGGGACCTTTTAGGTTGAAATCGATGTCGGGCATGGAGATTTTGGGAGCCTTAAAATGCATCTCGGGCATCTTGAACTTGGGGCCCTTCAGTTTTCCTTCAGGCCCTTCCAGCTCAACATCAGGAAGATCAACATCGACTTTGGGGCCTTTGATGTCAATGTCTGGGCCCTTCAGGTCACCTTCCAGTTTGGGCACTGACACATCCACATCTCCCTTGATCTTGGGGCCCTTCAGGTTGAAGTCGACATCAGGCATGGAGAACTTGGGGGCCTTGATGTGCATCTCAGGCATCTTGAACTTGGGGCCCTTCACCTTCCCCTCGGGCAGCTCAACATCCACCTCTGGACCTTCGATGTCCACCTTGGGACCGGACACATCCAGGTTTCCTGTCGGCAGCGTCACGTCCACCTCGGGCCCTTCGGCCTTGACCCC